ACTCCTGCCGATACGGTCTCAGACCCACGGCTGCGCTTCGCAACTGCTTCAAGAGCATCTTTTTCGCTTTCTGTGGCGGAGTATCACCACGGGTATCGTCGCCGAAACTAACTACGTTCCATGAGCCGTCAGCACGAGAGCGCAAAGGTCAAGGTTCAGAGTCGCGGGCGCCACCCAAAGACAATCCTATATATATATTAATGACGTTCGGCTCTCCGAACCCGAAGAGGGCCAAGTTGACTACGACGAGCCCATGGGTAGCGAGTCCCACACCAACCCAACCTCAAGCCGATGCCGTGTCGTATCCAGCAGAGTCGGCGAGGTCTAGCCGCCCCGCGCGACATGAGCACTCAAATTGCGTTCGCGCGCTACGCGATGCGCCTCCGCTATCATCCTGATACGATGGGGAATATCGATACAATCACAACGTTATTATGAATAACCAGGACGAGGCCAAAGGCCGTCGGCTGTCCGGTGAGTAACGCACAATGTTGTATCGATCCAGGGTCCGAGCACTGGCTCTCACGTCACCCCGTGACTACAGCTACCAAAGCGCGGAGCCCTGCGGAAGTAGCTCGCCTCGCTGCGCAGCAGCCGCTGAACTCGTATGCATGTGGGCCTGTGGACTCTAGAGCTGATGAGCATGTGCAGCGAAGCGATACTTGACTCCACAAGTCACAACGCCTCGGTAGTAGCAGGCGCGCCTGCAAATGCAGCTCAACTTTCAGTCAGTTCCCTCCATGTGCATCATCACGGTTATTTTCAACCCTGGGGAATCCGAGCGTGCTTACCAAGAGCGATTCCGAAGCTGTGCAGAGAGAGCTTGACGGGGGCTCCCTCTTATCGTGCTCTTCAAGCAAGCTTTTCTATTATCGAAATTATTCTTACGAGACGTTTGCGCTTAGCCTTCGCGAATTTGAAGCGCGCCGTCAACTCTCGGGGCCCCGTCCCCATCATCACGAGGCAAAACAGCCTCTCGCTCATACTGCGCGCGCCGCTCATTCCTAAGCGCCGGCTGCTACAGCCATTAGTCGAAACTGAGCTCAAATACAGACATGTCACCCCTACATTCCAGCGGCGGGAAACGCTCGACCCCTGACGACGCGGTCATACGCCGTGGCGGCGAGGCAGTTGTAAGTCCGATAAAAACGTCGATACGTCAGGGCGGTCCTGCCGGACTCCAATCTCAGACTCACATGCGTTTTGAGAGTGATCCCTATACTTCACAAGGTACTGCGTACGACCCGGCGCCTGCCCCTCGCTGTTCCACATGGTAGTGGAGCTCGCCGTGCTCGTCGAGCAGAGCTGGAAGGGACCGAGCCTCAGCTGGACTCTCGTGTCGCGAAACGCAGCGACATGCTCGGACTGAAGCAGCGCGTGGGTTCTCTGAGCCTGTATCTGCACGCACGCTTCAACTGACTCCCTGAGTCGCGTGCAGGAGATTTCGATAATACGACCCACCGTGTGGACTTGTTTGAGCAACCACGGTCGGTTCAGAGCCGAGTAGCGAACCTTGCGCGTCCAGTCGCTCTACGGCAACGTCAGCCCGACTTGCTGCTGCATCTTGTGGCCCCGCCACCTGCTGTCGTCCAGGCTACCGTGGCTCGGCAACCCGCGGTTCACCAGCCTAGCGATGCACATCACGTCGTGGCCCAGCCACCGTTTGGCGCCAAGGCATCCGCGCTAACCTGAGGAGGGTGTTGATATGGCTTGAGTAAAGCTCACGTATAAAACCGGATGTGTGTGCATCTCCTTCGGAAAGGTAAGCGTATACGCTGGGCCTTTCTTGGCCACGTCCTTAAACTGTCCTATTAGCCGAGGTATCAACTTAACATTGAAGACTGTAGACACTGCATGCATAGGTAGTTAGGTAGGTATAGGTAGGTAGGTAGGCGAGGATCTTGGCCTCCGACCTCAAACCTCTCTCCATTAATTTTGCCCTTGGCATCTGCGTGTTTCTTTTGTGTGTCTTGGCTTTTAGCCATATTGTATTATGCTCCGGCTTAAAGAGATAAAGTCATCGACTTGCTTGCGAGCTGCAACAGGGCAAACATCAGCCAGGCACTCGGCTTTCCCTCCCCACCATGCCCTGAGCGACAGTGTGGCGACATCATTACGGCGCGAGGGTTTACCAAGCCGTTCACATAAATCGGGGTGACGACTCTTGAGGCATGCACTGGATTATTTAAAGCGAACGCAACGAGTGAGAGCGTCTGGCTGGCGCCTTAGCGCATACGCTTCGGAGGATATCCTCCACAACGCGATTTACACGTTCGAGCTGACCGTCAGTCCGCGAATGATACGCTGTGGACATGTACATGCGAGTGCCGAGCAGGATGTCCAGAACTTCACAGTGAAACGCGGGTCTCAATCCGAATTCTTTGCCTCAGGCAATCCATGTTGACGAAAGGCGCGGTAAAAACAGCAAAGCTGTATCCTCGCCATCAATGGTGTCCGGAACCGCCGCTAAATGAGCCATCTTGCTCAACCGGTCTACGAAGACCATAATACCAGTGTTTCCCGCCTTAGCTTTAGGAAGGCAGCACAAAGTCCATACTAATAGTCTGCCAACGTCTCTTGGGGACAGGCAAACTCGGTACCGGCGCTGTCGTGCCCGGTGCGGACTTCGTTCGCTGACAAGTCTCACACGTGTGTAAATAGGTACCGATCCATTTATACGTCTTGAGCCAGCCGTACATCTAACGCCGAACGGTATAAATCCAAAAGGTAAGATCTGATATCGAGTGTGTATGCTCTGAAGAGGTGTGAGGCTAGCCGCCCTCGGTCGAGATGGGTCGGGCTAGATCCAAGCTATCTAACATGATCTGGTGACGACATGAAGATTACGCCACGAATCGGGACAGATCCAGTTGAATAGCAACTGGGTGATGGTGAACGGTAAAGGAAAGCAGATAGCCAGCTATGTAAAGGTCATCAAGTGACGGTGTAGGAGGGTATGGTAGATGGAATAAGACCTAACCATAAATCAGAAGGTAGTTTTCATAGGACGTCGAAAGGGCCCTTCTACGCCCGTAGCAAACAAACAGTTTTGACCGTAAGAGATTCGGAAAGACAAGTGACGTTGATCTAGTCAGAGTTGTACTAGCTGGTTAATATATTAGCCAGATCATACTACCTTTGTACGCTGGACAACAAATACATACTCAGATATACCGGCTTTACTACTTGGACGAGCGATTCTCTATGCTGCTCAACACCAAAGCTCCTGCTACAAAAAGCGGCAAGTACGACGTAAAGGATCCCAAGGAAATGAAGCTCACCGACAAAGCGACCTCAAGCCCACATTGCTGATCATGGCCCCCACATCCAACAAGGTTGAATGACTCGCTTGTAATATGGAAGTAACATCAGACGTCGAGTGATGATCTTACTTATCCACCATATCCTCGTGTCTCGCCAATGCACTTAAGCTTCACCACCTGTACGCTTCATTAGTCTCCGAAGGAGCAGATCCAGTCTAGCAGTCGGGTACACAAAGTGAGAAAGCTCAGCGAGTTCTCCAAAACCAATCTTCTGTAGTTTGTGTCTGGGCTCTAGTTGGAAGTTAGATCTAATAATCTCGCAGCTTTTTCCGACCTCGCTACACCACAGAGTCCCAATCGCTTTCAGTGGGTTGCGGGCACCCGTTCCCACAACGACTTCCATTTCTTTGACTAAAAATAATTCAACTACTGGCACAATCGACTTCCGCGACAATCAGCACACCGGCTCTGCAAGCAGTCCCAACAAGTATCGTTCGTACCCTATCTCCCGAGTCTAAATCAGGCGCGGCACTCAGCAGCACCATCCCCATTCTAGCGCTGCACGAACGCCGTCCAAGACTTGCCCAGCGATCGCTTGGTCCAGTCTTGCTGGGAGTGGCGCAGTGCTGCTCAATCCACTCGCGCATAACGTCGTCGTCCGGGGGTGTCCAAGCCGCTGTAGCTGGTGCCATTGTCCTCGTGCTACTGGTTTCCTGCGATATGCCGTGTCCTCGGCGCAGGTGACTTCGCTGCGCCCCGCCCCGTCTTTTGTCGCCATTACTATCACCATCATCGCAATTCCAACAACTAAAGCTGTTTATTAAGTTTAGGTTTGAAATTGAATAAATGCGTATTGTTAATCCTTTCGCGAGCATAATAGAATATGTATATTATATAAAGTAGAGTTAGTTGAGATTAAAAAGGCGGATAATGCGCCCTTGAGAGTGATAGTATTGAGTCAGCTTCATCTGCAAATCAAAGGAGATGTAATGAGATATCTAGAGCGGCTTACCAAAAGGTCGCGTTTGACGTCTATTTAGTAATGCATTTATTGGCTGAAACGACGAAGCTGCTGGTGAAAACTACGGACTCGTGGCTGATTATATATAATTTTGAGTTTTTTCAGCTGCAATTGCAAGAAATTTATACCGATGCCCTCGTCGCTTGGCCGCGCGCTCACGCAAAAATAAAGCTGGTGTTTGTGAGCGCCTAACGTCGTCGTTTCTAGCTATGCTTGTAGCAAAAAAAAAGCTACAAAGATCCGTTTGACATCGTAGAGAATACTTGCCATGCTTTCATAAATACATGAAATTAGCTCCTATTCTTCTCGATATCGGAGGCAGAGGCGCCGCAACGCCAGTATTAGTCTTTGCTTGGGTCGACATATACTCACTCACACAAGAGGTTGCGGAGATAATTTTTTGTTTCTTGGCCCGTTATCGACTGCATTTATGCTATTCATTTGCATGACATTTTGGATCTCTCGCTCGCTGCTGACTTGGGCCATCCTATAGACACGTGCAATGTTTTTGGTAGACACGTTTGATGTTTGTATTCACTCTGATTTCACTATGTCTCTGTTGTTACGGATACAAAATACTGGTGTTTGTGTGCATTTCTAGCTGATTTTGTATGAACGACATAGACTTTGTATTGCATTTTTGGCTCCGTCACAAAGCAGCGATACGGCGGAGGGCAGTGGCTTTGAAAACGCCGTCGTCGCCGGGGGCGGCGGACATGGCGTTGCCTATGATATTAGTACTGTTGTTGGTCGTCGTGGTGGTGGACGTGGCCCCGGACGTGGAGCCAGTCGCGGCAAGTCACGAGCCGGTGGGAAGCAAGGCCGAGGTGATCGTGGCGGGGACAGAGTCGGCGGGGACGACCACGCAGGCGCAGCTGGTGGAGAGCGTAAGGGTGCTTGTGTGCGTTGGGGTTTTTATGCTAAGGCATAAGTACTAATGCAAAGTCATGTGTGCATACGTGTAGCGCCGTCAGAATGTACTGATAGTGGGGTGGCCAGTAGCGCTGGAGACTCTGCTGTTGCTGTTGTGGGTTCTGGTGCCGGTCGTGGCGTTCAGCTTGGCAATATTCACGGATTGATTCAGGCGGGAGAATTTGGCCAGAGGGGATATCTAGAAGTGATCAGTGACACTGGAGTTTTTAGTTATGATGGAAATACAGACGGTGAAGTGTTATCGCGTGACGACTGGAATTGCGACCGACGTCCGGCTGCTTGAAGACTGGTGGCGTCTGGCGAAAACAACGATGTGGTGTCTCAAGCTTACCGAAGTATCAGCAGCTTGCCTAGCATACATTTGCAGTACAATAGTCTAGCGACAGCACGGATAGCGTCGCCGCCGTTGTTTCGGTCACTGAGTGGCGTAATGAATGAGAATTATGTTCGGGCGGCGTCCTCGCTTCTCCGGGTTGTTGACAAGCTTGTGGCGTATTCACCGGAGAAGAAGCTTGGATGAAAGCAAAGGTGTATCGCCCTGTGGGAAAAGCATACATGATTGACAGAGTGTGTCGGGAAATGCATAATCGAAAGTATGCTAACCTATTCCAAGTCCGGTGGCTGGACTGCCTGATTCAGAGCGCAGTGGAGCATGTGACGCTGGGTGTTATTCAGAAGGGAATTGACAAGTACGCTGCTGTCACGCGTCAAAGGCGTAATCCGGACTGGCAGATACTAATTGCTCCCGGTGCGGAAAACGAAATCGAGGTGGATGACGCATCTGAGCTTATCGAGAACGAGGTGTTTGAAGAATTTGACCCAGCGAGTTTTTGCCGACCAGCCTGGAGGAGGTGAAAGCTATCAAAAGCATGTGCTTTTACCCGTCAGGTGAAGCTGAAGCACCCGGATATTTGTACAAGCATCTAGATGGCTCCAGGATCCGTCCGGCGTATCAGCATCTGTTTGAACGCTCGGCTAGCTCAAGATTTTTCACCTATTTGCCATTATACTTCTAGGGTCAGGTGCTCCACGAGACAAACAGCTACGCTGTTATGAAAGGCGTACAAACAACAACATCATTCACACTACCCGAATTAATGGCGTTTCTGGTTATCATATTCTTCTTGGCACTGAACGACAAGGGGAATAACTCGAATTTTTGGGAACCGCACCCTGAGGATCTGATATTTGGTGGGCAGTCTACTTCGCTATATGGTATCATGACGCTTATGCGCTTCAAACTACTGCGCCGGTGTCTTTGTTTTAGCTCTGCACCGTCAACACTGGAGACAGATGCGGCAGCATGCATCCGTCCGTTGCTAAGTTTGCTATAAATCACCAATGCGCAGTACATTAATGTTGGAGGGGACTTGGCTGTTGACGAAGCGAGTGTCGCTTGTCGGTCTCGACACGGACGCCACCTCATAGTGTGCAGCTCCATGAAGCCAACGGGGAAGTACCACTTCCGAGATTACATGGTATGCTGTCCAACCAGTTGGATAGCTTTGAACTACAAGCTTAATTGCAACCGTAGTGATATAGCTGATCGACTTGCTGGTGTTGTCGAGCAACACGAGGCGCAGGCATTGCGCGAAGAGTTTGAGAAAGTGTCGAAACTTCGGCAGCACGTCTTAGAAGTTGCTCGACCATTTTTCAGGAGCAATCGCGTCATCAACACGAACAATTATTACACGTCAACACGGACTGAGGCTGAAAGGGCTGTACGGTCGCGGGACTATCCGATCAAATAGCAAACATTTCCCCAGTCACACAATGCCCCACAAAGATGATGCCTACTCGCGTGAAAATTTACGCCAGGCCGTTTCGATTGACTACGATATGGTGGCCGCTTCATGGTGCGACGAAAGCATAGTGAATATAATATCAAACGCTAATGCATCGTCAACGACAACCGTGGAGAGGCTGATAGGAAATGAAACACGAGATTTCTATGCCCCGACATGTATTGCTGTGTACAACGCCCAATATGCAAGGTGTTGATCGTTTGGATCAAATTAGCGGACGGTCACTCTTTCAGCGTTGGCACAAAAAGCTTGCGCTTGCGTTAATAGACGTCGCCCGCTCAAATGCGTTTTTGACGCGGCGACTGGTACAGGCTGGCGTGGCAACGCGTGATCCGCATCGGACGTTCGTGACAGAATTGGCTGGTGAGCTTAGCAACGGTCGGTGGGGAGATGCTCCAAGTGAAGGAACCATGATGTATGGGTGGGGAGGAAATGCACGTACACAGCCGATTCGGGGCGGTAGGACACCGACGCCTGAACCGAAACTAGGTCAAGGGGCGGTGTTCATCGGTTGTGTCAAAACAAATGTTCGCCGAGAAAAATCGAAAGCGAAAACGATGTATTGTATGCCGCTGGGAGGGTCGATACCCGACTGAGGTTACCAATTACTGCGCTACACATCACGTCTGTCTCTGCCGAGTCGTCCCTTCCGATGCTGCAAAAACGTGGACATGTCCTAACACTAATTTGACATGTTGGGATAACTATTTTCTGTGCTATATAGGGACTGATTTGCTCACGCCTAATCTAAATATCCGGCGGCTATCAAAGTTGGCGAAGATGCGTTCTAGTGCACAGCTGGATGAAGCGGGGGGCAGAGCGAGTGCTGTTGAAGATTTCGTGGAGCAACGTAAAGTCCGACAACATCGCGATTATTAAACCAGCTGCAGCAAGTTGGTGAATTGATTATCACGTGGACTTGGTGTGACTGAACTGTGATAACACGCTGCGGTCGCTCAGGTCTACAAAAAAGTGTGTGTTGGTCTTGTGAGTATGCCGGCACCAAATGGAGCTGGTCGCGTGGAGGTTGGAGATGGATAGCGGTGCTATCCTAGGGCGTATGAATAAGGGATCAGGTCCGGGTGGGTGGGGGCCGATATCGACTCTCAAGTTGCAATTGCATCAAATATAGTGAGTTGGTGTCTGTGTCCGAGCTATCCGGAAAGATGCATCATGTCAATAGCATGGTGCTACATCCCGGTGTCGTACAGCGACGACGTTGTACACTAGTGTGCAACGTGGCTACACCTGTCTTTCACATGCTGGAGGCTGAGCGGAAACGTGGTTAGCCTGTTAGAGAACACGATAGACCGACGGCTGCGGCCACCTCGTGCATGAAGCTTCACAGTGATAATGACGAAACTAAGACAAACAAAGTTGTGATAATACAAATGGTCTTTATGTTTAGCTGACTACGAAGCACGCTTATAGAAATAAAGTGGGTGCAACGTTGATTTCCAGCTACAACCCACTCGCGCATCGCGCATTAACTGCCAGTTGGAGCAGAATGGATTCGAACAGCTCATTCGATGTCTTGGGCAAAATAATGAGGTGGTGACAACCGTCCGAGCATTGTACATTTCGCTCAGCTCACGGGCAACAGCGAGCTTGGCGTTCTCCTAAAAAAGAAATGTGTTGGTGAATACTATCGTAGCTTGGATTGTGACAGCTTGCGATGCAATAGAAACATCTCGCGCATTAGCGGACTTCATGTTAAACTTTCGAAGATGTGGATAAACATTGAGATGATCTTACGCACTGCTGACCAAGTGAGCATAGCTCGCTTCGTACCTCGATACCGATGCAGGAGCGACAATTTGTCATCAGTGCCAAAATCGCTAGAATATTTTTAAAATTCACTCCGATATCTAGAAACACAGTCGGTGTCTGTCACAGGAGCCAGTACTTGGATCATTGTAGCTACTCCATCCGGCGGTATTTCGCCAACATTTTTACACGTACGTCCAGCTCTTTGACGACCGTCACGCGCTCTAACATTACCAAGAATAGTATTTATTGCACGTGTAGCGTCCGCTTGAGTTAGTAGACCGCCATATAATCTGGTCGAAAAAAGCGTTACATCACGCGCCGTCGAAAGCCGCGAGTATGAGCCAAAATGTGCCTTGGTGTTGCCCCTCTGAAGAAACAAGGAGGAAAAGTTGCTAGAGGTTTTCCATAAGTCCGCTTGAGACTAGCCAGCCTCTGCTTCAGCTCGCGTGCCGATCCCCTTGTCCTCGCTAGCCGCCTCTCTATTTATTTCCACGTAATGCGCAAGCCTTCTCGCTCGAAGTGCAAGGCAATTTGAATAAGGGCTTTGTCTTCCCAGTTCATGAACCGTGTCTGCATTTTGATCATATCGCAAATGGTCATGGGAGTTCGTGTCTTAAATTTTGTAAAGTAGTAGCATAGGGAGTAAGTATCTTAGTTACTGTATGAAAAATAATGGATGGTAGTAAGCTTGTGGGATCGGCCAGCCCCACTGTTTATAAACCGTTGTTTGGCGTCGGCTATGTATCGAGGTAAAATACGTAGCAGATTAGTTCAAACATGAAAAATATATAATGCGCTGATGGGTTCAGACATGAGATGGGTAAAAAGTAATTTTACAAACTAAGAGAAACGAAGCGCATAAGGTGCCCTTATACGACAGTGATTTCGACCGTATATTGTTAAACATCTAAAGGGGCGCAAAATACACCCTTCTACCACGATAGGGTTAATACTGTACAACAGAATAACCGCTCTTACCTCGTACAGCGCGTGCACAAGTTTGGGTCATGTATAGCACTTTAATCATGGTCAGAAGGCTGTTTGGTGTTCATTCCTGAAGTTTAATTACCAAATTCTTCAGATTTGGAATTCTTGGAAATATCACACACTTCCGTATTATTACTATATCATTCATGCTGCAATGAAATAGATTTGCTCCACTGAAAATATCAAAAGGATCACCATTTTCTGACAAAAGCTGTTTCAAAACCTGGAGTTATTCCAGATACTTAACTTCTCTACTGATATCGGTATGAAATTAACTACCAAGAAATTAATCAACCTTTGCGAGGAAATAATTTGAGGTTGTTGATTAATCATTTCCATGTGTTTTCCAAATACATTGCTGTTCTTATTAAACATTAAAATATTTTCCATGCCTTGAATGAGCTAATCGGTTAGGAAACAATAACAACTTTAAGTCAGTTCTTGGTTTATACCGATATATTCGGTTCACGTGCCTTTTCGCAGATTTATGAGCCCAAAATGTAGAACTTGAGCCCTTGTACTCACACTTTCAAATAACAAATGTCCCCTAGTTACTCAAGAAAGAAAGAAAACTGTTGCTGAAAAGTCGCGGTTCTTGTCCTTTCGCGTTTAAAACTTCCAGCTCAAAAATTCTCAGATCCCAGTTCCTGTTTCTTAGGGGTTCTGAGTAATTATCAGAACTCTCCGTTCATTTTAGGCGTGCTTAAGTCTCTACTGGTATCTGTCGATTGGTCCCAATAGTAGAGGCAAGTCGACAGCTGTATCGTCAACATTGTCGACTCGACACTGGGGTCTGGTCTCCGGTCTGTCCATCAATGACCCCCCCCCATATCGGCTCGAGCTTTATGAATCACCCCGCATCGACGAGTCCGATCTTCTCCCTGAGGCCCTCCATCCTTGATGCGCTTGCACGATAGCCGCTATTGCTCATCAGCATGTCAATAGCCAATTTGATGGAGATGCCCGAATCACCCGGCAGATCCTTCGGCCTGGATAGCTTTTGGGCACCCACCGTACTTCGCCTCCGTTGTCGATAGCGCCACAGAAATCTGTTTATTGCACTGCCGCGACGCCGTCATTCCTTTCCTTTGGGTTGTTGCCGCGCTCAAACACTTCTGGGCATTCTTGTCGGCTGCGAAATCGGCGTCAGTGTAAGAGCACAGTCGTAGTGGTAGTCCCTTATACTTGACGTCGTCAGACATTACCAATTTATGCGAACGGGTGCCACTTAGGTACCTGGCGATGCGCTTAGCCAGCTTCCGGTCCGCCATCGTTGGCACATCGGTCCGTCGT